CTATATCTCGATGGCTGTCCTGGAAGATGACTGGGGAAATGCGTGCGCATACCCGGAAATCATCTACGGACTGACACGCTGGGCAACTGAGTCCAAAACTGGCAAGGGATGACGTCAGACGCCTGCGCCTGATCTCGCACATGCGTCTTGGGGAATCCGCGCCGCCACTCGGAGACCGGAACTTTTTAGTCCGGCCTTGTGACATGGTGGGGAGGGGTATATAGGGAGGGAGCTGATGCTAGGCGAGTCCAGCGGAGATCACCACAGAGACGCATGGTCAGCCTCAGGTAAGAAAGCTAGATTCATCTTAACGAGAAATATTGACCGGTAGGGATTATGGGATATATATATATAGATCTATACAACCGACCTGGCGAACATAGGGATAGGGTAGAACCACCGATAGGATGAGTACTAGGGCTCACAGGTATAGGAAACATAGGGGTTTGATAACTGACACGTCACTTCACACACTGCACACACATATGCTTTATACAATCTGAAGATACATACAATCACTGATACATGGTATCCCGGTTGAACTACTTACACCCTATATAGAATAGATATACCCTACCTGATTAATGATCTTACATTAGTAAGATAGACACACATCGCTAGCTATCACTTAAACCGTTTAATTTATGTGTGTATGCATATGTATGTACATGCACATATACAGATGCATAGATCTCTCACCCAATAATGGAGGTCCCATTCTTTACGTTTTACTTTTCATTTTCCCCTTTTTTGGGGGTTTTAATATAATAAATTTTGAACCTTTATTTTAACATATCTCTCTTGGACGGTCATTTGCACCCCTCCAAAAACCCTTCCTTTTCCTCTATATTTTATGCAGTGGGATTAATTTGTAGGGGTTGTCTCCTATTCCATATACATTGCCCTTAGCAATGACACTTTGTCAGTAGCAGTAGCTGTATAAGAAAGCATTATTTCTTTGAAGCTGCTGTTGCTGTCCTCATATCTTTAGTATATACTTACCTGCCTATTATTTGCCAGTTGAAGAATGGACACAAAGAATAGACATGTGCGATTCGTTTCGTTCCGATGCAAATAATGTGGAATTGTTCAAGAAACTTTTGGACGATTTCTTAAGGGACCGTAATATACAGGGGTACAGGTACTCCTAGAATGAGATCCTAATAGGTTGGACTTGATGGACTAATGTCTTTATTCAACCTCAAATACTATGTAACTATGTAACTATGTAACTATGAAATTCGGACGAATATCGGCATATTTGGACATTCGGATATATATATAACGAATACTGAATCCAAACGTATCTGAATTTTTGATAAAAATGAAAATTTCGTTATGCATCCAAATTATTTTCCGAATGTCATTCTGAATGAATATAGGTTGTTAAATGTTTAAATAAAATTAAAAAAAAACAGGGTGGAGTGCCCTCCCCAATTCATACCAGACTCTTTAGGTCTGGTAGGGATTTTAGGGGGGGCTCCACAGTTTTTGTTTTGTTTTTTTGGTTTGCATGCTTGTCCCCTCCCCTTCCTGCTCTGCCAGGCTGATGCTCGGGTCAAAGGCCTGGTAATGGATTTTAGGAGGGACCCCACACTTTTTTTTTTGGCGCTGGGGTCCCCCCTAAAATTCCTACCAGAACTAAAGGGTCTGGTATGAATTGGGGTGGGAGAACCGCACACTGTTTTTTAAAATTATTTTTTGTTGTTTCTGTGGACTGTCAAAAAGTTAAAAGAAAACATTTCACTTTTTATTTCTAATGTTACTTTGATTCCTGAAGAATCCCTAAAACAAAATAACAAAAAATCTGAAATGAAACAGACCGAAACAAATTTCGGGGGGCTACCCCTGCACTGCAAGGGTTAAGTGCTAATTTTTTCTTTAGAGGATGAAATAAAGCAGATATACTCAAATGATTCTCAGTCCTGTGGAACTATATCCATATTTTCAGATGGCAGGGTTTTAGGCCTTGTTCACACCAAATGCAGACCAGATCCGGTCAGGTTTCTGCACACGCAGTGCAGTGGGTTGTGCCGCGTTTTAGACGCGTTTTGGATGCGTTTTGGGCTGGTTTTGGTAAAAAAAAAAGTTTAACATGGGCTTTCAGGCACTTGCATGCGTTTTTGCGTTTTAGATGCGTTCCAGACCAGATCCAGAGCAGGCAAAATAGGGCTTGCCGCAGTTTTTTCATCCGGTCTGGATCTGGTCTGGATCCGCAAGCTGCGATGTGAACTGGAGGTCAAAATACCATAGGAATACATTGGACGCAGTTTTGATCCGGTCTGCACCTGCTCTGGTCCGGATCTGCTCCGCGCTTGGTGTGAACAAGGCCTTATAATCCAACAACCAACATATTATTGAATGGAACAACATTACAATTTGATACACATCAAATTTGATATGAATCCCATGTATGTTGTCCTTAGAAAGTATAATTTGTCCTCCCAGACCTTCCTCCTGTCCATGTCCGCACCAAGGTAAGGACATACAGCAACATGGGTGGGAGGAGGTGTCAATGGACTAGAGGTGCGGTTACATCTCCACACTTGTATTTAAATGAAGACCAGAAGTCCCATTGCTGTGGTAGCTATAAAAGGATTTGTGAATGGATGATGCAGTTGTGTAGGCGGAGCCATGCACAGCTCCACTGAATTCAAATTTGTAAACTAGTCTGCAGGGAGAAGAACCCGGTGATTCAGGTAAGTGGGCAGCAATCTGACTATGTTTCAGGTTGCACCCTGAATGTGGGTGTAACATAAAACATGGTCAGAAAGGTAAACTTAGCCTTTCACTGGCATCACATACAGATTGAAGCTCGCCCCTTTGATCTGTTGATAAAAAGAGTAAATACAAATGTAACAGTAACATTACTTTGCATCTCTGAATTGCGTGGGAACAGTGTTTATGAACACTATATCAGAAGGTCCAGGTTTTTGCAGCAGCATCTGTAGTAGATTTTGTGTTTACATGTTTGCAATTTTAACAGCTGGGAATTGCTGGTAATAGCAAGGGTGGAGCAGCAGCAGGGGACAACAACATAATATGCTGCACATGTGTATTTCAATTGAGTTTTTTTGGGTGTGTGTAGCATGCCCAATACCCACAATTGGTTAGAGACCTCCTTGAGGAAAGCTGTTTATATGAACAGATTGAGACAACTACACAGAATAAGAGTCTGGATATGACAGATTATACCATGCTCATGTCAGGTGGAGGTCTCTCCCTAGGTTTGTATGGACATTCATAAATCTTCTACAAATAGTGTGACTTTATTCATCAGTGCCTACCAGTGTTAGCAGTTCTGCCTTACAACACTGGGGGTCCTCGGTCTCAATCATGACCAATACACTATCTGCATGGAGTTTGCATGTACTTTCTGTGATTGTGTGGGTCTCTTCTGGGTACTTTGGTTTCCTTCCATGTTCCAAAGACATACTGGTAAGTTAATTGGCTCAGCTAAGCACACCCATAATGGGTGCCTCACCACCTAAGCTCTTTGGGTGACATTCATCAATTCTGTGGCATGGTAAAACAGTGCTAAGCAGTAGCAGTGAGACAGATTTATTACAAGGTTACAGCACGAGTCATAAATGCTTTTCTCTGCTGCTCTACTGTGGCACTGTGACAGAATAAAACCTATCTCTGACCACTTGTTAATTAGGCCCCTTTCACACAGGCGCCATTTGTTCCGATTGGCAGAGGATCTGTCTATGGATCTCCTGCTGATCAGAGCAGAACAGGACACATCATTTATGGAACATCTGTGTCCATCTTGTGATGAAGGAAAGAACGGAGCTGTACAGACTCATGCTACGTCTATGGGCAGTAAGTGGACTTTGATCCCTCACGATCAGGTCCCCCAAAACGTAACTCTGGACAGAGTCGGGGGTAATCAGATGTAGACGAACACATGTCCGTTTAAATCGCTGGCTCATAGAGTTACAGTTAAACTGACAAACAGATCTGAAGGGACTACATGAGAAATTGGCCTGTTTAGAGCTCTCTGTCAATTACAAATCTGTCTCACAACTTTGCAATTTGTCGCACTTGTCTGCTTAGGAATTCAGATGCAGGAAACTGTAAACCTGTTGCAGAGACTTCTGAAGAAGAGGCAGCTGGATTTGTGACTAATTATGACGTCAATTTGCTTGATAAATGTCCCCCTTTGAGTCCCCAAGTAAAAGTGCTCTATAGATATACAAAATAAAAAGAAATGCAGAGGGGAATTTATCAAAAGTAGAGCAGGCTGAATTGGGAGCAGTTGGCCATGGCAACCAATCAGCTTCTCTCTACAGTTTGTTCAGGTAAGCTTTTAAAATGAAAGATAGAAGCTGATTGGTTGCCATGGGAAACTGCTCCAGATTGTTTCTGCTCCAGTTTTGATCAATTCCCCTCACTGTATTTTGTATGCACTGGCTGAAGAAAAAAACCCAGCGATTTCCTCTCTCTGGGTTCCTAGATATTTGTGTACCGTGCAGTTCCACTCTGCTGCGGCAGATGGCGCTGTGTTCCACCTTAGAACGGTACACGGACCGTCTTCCCCCTGCAGAGTCAGCAGAGGGCGCTGTGTGCGCTGCCAGTAGGCGGGCCTTGGCTTCCCGCAGCAATAAGAAAAAGGATCGGGGAAAAGAGGCACAGAGTGGGCGCTCGCAGCTACCGTCTGTAATCTGTCCTGCGGCTGATACCGCCTCATGACGGGACATCCATGCTGACTGACCGCAGGACATGGGAGTCCTCGAAATCACTGACCAGGTGAGCCGTGCTACGTGCATAGCCGTTGAGCGCAGGTTGCGGCCTAGTCACTGCTGCAGGCCTCGGCCCGTGGAGCAGGTCCTGCAGCTGCGGTGTGTTAGGGGAGGGCGAGTGTAGTCATTGCTGCTCTCCAAGGCTCGGGATATAGCTGTGTGCGTTGAGCTGTACATGTACACCGAGACATACGTGTGCGCATTGTGAGGTGCGTGTTATTGCGGTGCGGCCTGGCCGCGGTCCCTCCTCTCCCGTGTTCGGGGCCCCAGGCTGGCCGGCTGAGTGCTTTTGCTGCAGTCATCCGCCATGAACAGAGTGTGGCGCTACTCTGTGCACACAGTCTGCAGTCTCATCTTTCCCTCTCTGTGTTGGTAAATATTGCTGGACGTGCCCGGCCCCCCACAGCGTCTGCAGGGCATCATCTCGCCCATCCTCTGGAGGATTGAGGGCTTTACACACAATGCCTGGGATCCTCACCGAGCACAAGACTTTACATATTATTGCATCATTTCACTTCAGGTCAATTATCACATTTTTAAATGCTCCATTTCTGTGTTGACTCGATATTTTTGAGTTGGCCACCAGGGGGAGCACTAGGTTTGCCTTGTCTGCTTTGAACCCCTCTGCTTAAAGTGATTCAGCCTGCTTAAAAACTTCCTTTTTTCTGGTTAGAAGGGTCATACTTACATGAGATTGCAACCCTTCTTCTTTAGTTTCCCCAAACCACTCTTCCCCTCCTCGCCTATTGTGGGTGTCTCAATCAGCTTGCCGGTTGCTGAGGAAACACCCGTGTGTGTTGCCAGCTGTGGCCATAGATGCATATGGGGTGTGGCAAGCCACGCCCCTCTGCAACAGGTTGATTGATGGCAGAAGGAGCCAATCGCTCCTCTTCCCTTGGTACCCGCCCCCCTAAACCAGGAAGTTCAGACCAGAGGATATCTTCAGGGACCCCTGCAGCAGTGACAAGTGGCCACAGGTAAGGGGGGGCGCACAGGGGAACACAGGTGCTGTGTTTTTTTAACCTTTTAATGCAGAGAATGCATAAAGGTTAAAAAAAAAATGCCCTGCCTTTGCTACTACTGTAAAGAACCCCAGTATTTATTAACCCTTGCAGTGGGGCTACCCGTGCACTGCAAGGGTTAAGTGCTTATTTGTGTCTAGGTGCTTAAATAAAGATATACTCGCCCAAAGCTCAGAGCCAGCCAGTTGGCACGGCCCTCCCTCCAGCATGTTCCTGCACATTGGAATGTTCCTCAGCATCCTCACGTCTATGCACAGTATATAGACATGATGATTTACTGGACCATAGACCAGTGCAGAGGGGGGAGAGACATTCCAGGGACCGTTCTAAGAACAAGCCGACTCAGAGATTTGGGTGAGTATATCTTTTGTTTTTTTTAAACCTAGACACAAACGAGCACTTAAACCTTGAAATGTGGGGGAAGCTCCACTGCAAGGGTTAATACAAATAAATCATGGTGTTCTGCTTTTAAAGAAGAACTCTGGGCAGACATTTTCTTAACCCTTGCAGGCTACCCCCACAGTGCAAGGGTTAAGTGCTCGTTTCTGTCTAGGTGCTAAAAAAGAAATAAAACGGTTATATTCGCCTGATCCTTGCAGCTGACTTGTTCTTAGACTGGTCCCTTGCGCCCCTCTCTCACTCCGCTGCAGCGGTCTGTGTATAGAACGTAAATGATCACATTCTATACACAGTGTATAGCTGTGAGGACACTGAGGAACATTCCAGTGCTGCAGTATAGGAGCAGAGAGGCTTCAGAGAAGCAGGCAGCCGGCTTCATTGTTCGGGTGAGTATATCATAAATTATTATATATGTGTTTGTTTTTTTGGGCACCTAGCCCAGGTGTAGGCAACCTTGGCTCTCCAGCTGTGCTGAAACTATAAATCCCATAAGGCATTGCGAGCCACAGGCATGAGTCCCAGAGGCAGAAGAATGATGGGATTTGTAGTTTCAGTACAGCTGGAGAGCCAAGGTTGCCTACCCCTGACCTAGACAAACACAAGCCATTAACCCTTGCATTGCAGGGGCAGCCCCACTGCAGGCATTAAGAACACTTTTGCCCAGAGATCTTCTTAAAAGCTGATCTGCAATCCAATTTTTTTTTTTTCTTTAAACTGCAAGTTAAATAAATAAATAAGTGACATCTAAGTAAAACTAACTAGGGTCCCGATGGCTTCCAGTTACTGCATAAATCACTGTAGCTCTGATTGTGGATCCTACACCCAACGAAGATCTGTGTTAGTGAAGGTCTCCAGTCATATACCTGCCCATAGAGTATCCTGCCGCACTCCTTCTTGCAATGCCCTCAAGGATGGGTGCTGAAATGACTGCAGATGGCACCGCTGAAATCAGTGGAACAGGTCAAACGTCTTTTATTGATGCATGTTGTCACAGTGAAAGCGATGTTTTGGGGCCGCGCAGAGTCCCCTCTATCAGGCTCAGCATGGCAAAAGTGCAGTTGCCATACTGAGCCTGATGAAGGGGTGCCCTGCGTGGCCTCGAAAACGTTACTATTGAAGTGACAGTATGTGTCAATAGAAGACGTTTGTTTGACCTCTCACTTCAGTGTGCTGTTGACATCCAGTCATATAGATGGCCCCTCCTCTCTCTCCTCATCCATTCACAGAACACATTATATTCTGTAAAAATGAATACACTAAACTTCCCATTATCCGGCATCCACGGGGATTAGTAGATTCTGGATACATTTAATTTCTGGTTGCTTGAGAGTTACTATTTAAAATAGGTCTATCTAATGTCATACCCCATACTATACCATATCGTACCATAAACTCTGTATTGATCTATTAATATTAAAATGCAGTAATCAAAAACAAAGACAAATAGGCGCACAATTATTTCCAGGATAATACACACTGCAGATCAGCAGAACAATGAGTACACGGGATTTTTGTTTTCTGGTTAGATGAGAGTTCAGGTTAGTTGAATACCGGATAACAGAGTTTACTGTACATGACTTTTTGTGAATGCATGAGGGGTATATGACCATCTCCCCTTGTCCAGTCACCTGCTTTAAATCCTATGGAAACAATTTTTGAGATGCACGCACATCACATCCAACCTGGGCTACATTTCCAGTCATACCATGAGGATTCACTGTGGGTCAATCAGAGGCTGTGGTCAGTTCACAGCTATTGTACTGCAGCTATTGTGTATTGTCAGCTCTCATGAGCAGGGTCCTCTAATCCTTTTATATGGTATTGTACTGGTGCTGTCTTCCTATATATTGTAAAGCGCTGTGTTGTGTTGGCGCTATATAAATCCTGTATAATAATATTATTGTACCTGTCCACAGAAGGAAGCATGACATCAGATCACCGTTCATTCAGTAGAGTACACAAAGCAGGGCATGCGATCAGGAGCCATTTCTCCTTGGAGAAAAAAATGCCGGTCTGGTCGCATTAACTGGAGGAGGGGGGACA